ATGTATTCATTTTATATTCCGAAAGAATTTGAAAAAAGGTTCCAAAACGACGCCTGTCATCGTCGTGTTAAAACCATTATTTTGTTCACATTTTCGTGCGACGATTTGTTTAATTTCAGACTTAATAATCGGAGATAAGCCGGGAAACGCTGGACGGGATACGCCTGGATGCAGTCCCAGCTTCGAGTGTGTACCTGGAGTATGCATTGACGCGGCCCTGGTATGTAACGATATAGCAGATTGCCAAAATGGACTCGATGAAAGTGTACTTGAGTGCGGTAAGTGCCGACGTCATCCCTTTTAAACCATTACCATCTGAAGTCCGCGACTCTTTAATCACAAATTTTGCGTCGTTTTTTTGTCGCTGCAGTAGTGTACGCAAATATTTCCCAAGCTCTACAAGTAATACTTGTTTTATCTCTTGTTTCATGGTAACGACTGTAGTTGCCATGTTGCCATATTTAGTCAATATTTGTGGTGGGAATGAGTGCGATATTATAGCACACTCCTCAGTACATTTCATATTAGTTACGCCCTCTAGCGGCAAAGTATCTGCGACGTGATATGTAAAAGGGGCTGTTCACAACAATATTGTTTTTATCTTCGTCCTTCAGAAAGCTAACTTGAGAGATTTAATATAATTTAAATGACGAACGGCTACATTTTGATTTGTATCACTTTCATCCGTCAACGTCAGTGTACCGTCGTCGTGGGGGAAATGGTCAATTCAGATCATACACATTATCATTATCCCGCTATCTGCGAGATCTCGCAAGAAGCGCGGATTTTGTTTATTCAGACCGGACGCATGCGCATTTCACTGGGGCGTTTGTTAATTTCACTTTATTATTCCAGGTTGCCCGATATACCAGTTTCAATGCAACACCACGTGTATCGATTTGATTCGCCGATGTGATTTCGTAGACGATTGCCCGGATGGATCAGACGAAGCAAATTGCGGTTAGTAACGTAAACACTGCCATCACCGGCGATACATTCCTGTCTCACACAGTGACTACAGAACATGAGCCGTGATTTTGCTGATTTGAATTCATATAATATTGAGCCAAAATGATCCCTAGATACCAAATGCACAGAAAGTATAGACTATATGCAAGTTAACAACGCATATGCAGCGGAAAGGTTAATTCGCGATGTTCATGCTTTTAATATAAATATGGGCGATATGCATTGAAACAAAATAAGTTACTAAATAGGTATTACTATATATGAACCACGGCAATAAATCGCCTATTAGGCGATATTACATAACTTAAGCCAAAATCATGACGTCATACTATTGTTTTGCTCCGTAACTTCTGTGGAATAACCGCCGACTATGGTTAGAACACCGAAGGGGACTTCTAGAAACATGCGGATGGATTTCTTAAAATTCCTTATAGCTAAAAATGAATTACAAATTTCGGGGCTTTATTACGTTAGTTCAGTTATTGAAAACTGTGCAAATGGTAAGTAGCCTTCCCTTCGATTTTTCTGGCTTTAGAATCGCCTCGGGACTCTAAACAAGACACTCACCGTTGTCAGTCTTTTCACACGCCTACCTTTTTTCATTCGGTAACACAGGGAATTCATTCTGAATTCTATTTATTTCCAAATGAGTCGTGTACTCGAAAATTTACGAAAAAATAGCTTTTCGAAGGTTTAAAATCGAATGGTAAACATCATCATCACATCACTCAAATACTATTCCCGAAATACTGTAAATACGATTCGAAAACACAGTACTGACAACTCGAAAACAAAAAGTTGAACCAGGTAAGTTACCATAATCTACTCACAAACCAAACCAATGCCTTGATTGTTGTTGATTTTGTATCAAATAAAATCCATCCGCAGGCGCCTGTATAACCCTGTGTGTTGAGATTAGTAACCTGCTACGAGCATCAATTCATGTTTACATCGTCAACCTCAAAACCACTGATAATGAACTTAAATATCCAAAATAAGCTTTTAATAATAGTTTGCTAGTAATTCATAATATTGTATATATATTTAATAATATTGTATTGGCTCTGCACACACACACATATGTGTCGTGGTTTCAATGGGCATGCGCATTTGCGGTATTCACCATTCCATGAAACGAATAATATTTTTGTTGTGTGCAGTGTGAATACAAACGTATAATATTGAACACAATAATATATTCAAATGCAAGCTGTCTAAATGAAGCTACTATTTGTTGGTTGTTTGGAAACAGCTTTCTCTAATAGATGTATACCGCATTCAGTTGCCGCCCGTTATGTTAACAACTCCTTTACAATTGACCTATGAACTCGACGTAAGTATTGCAGTTCATGGTCATTGATCTCAGCTTAGGTCGTTTGTAAGATTCTGGTCCCCTGTTTGCTGACAAGAGTACGTGATGATTGGTCACTGAATAACAAGAGTACGTGATGATTGGTCACTGAATCGTGCATAGTCATATTTGTTTAAAGCGACAATAATTATTTAAGCATTTTACGGTGTGTCAAATCAGTCATATATAGCACAATTTAGCCTCGAACGAGGATGATCAAAACGTCATTTTTGATGACGTACTCATACGATATCTTCGCATGGCTCTAAATTACGCCCAAATAGTGTGAGTCATTGCCGTACGTCACGTGTGCACCACGAGCACATCACGTGTTATATCTTTACAGAAACATTCCAGTGCGTGTCATCCCATGTCAAGTGCAGTAAGGAAAATCATAAATGTGTACCACGTGACCGAGTATGTGACTTTATCGACGACTGTGGCGATAATTCAGATGAGATGAATTGCTGTGAGTATCAGCAGCGAATTACTACGTGTGTATAACATGTGTATGCAAAATTGTAAACCACCATACATGTATTAACATATAAACCCTCACACAGGTGATCATATGCATGCATTCATATGTAGATTGTAAATCGCCACACTTGTATCCATATACAGATTGTACCACATTAATCAGATTACAAATAATAATATGCTTATTTTGAACTTCTTACGCATACTGAAAACCTTCACACTTGTATTTATATCCGTATTGTAAAACAGCCACAGTTGGCTTCATATCCAGATTGTAAATCGTTATACATGTATTCAGCCTCACATCCGAACACTTACTTATATTCATATTCAGATTGTAAATCCACCACACTTGTATTCACATTCAGATTCTATAATTATTAACAAATATGTTAATATATTAACTCAGATCACCGTCCATGTTGGTATGGCGAATTTCGATGCCAAAATGAAGAGTGTGTGACTGGCGCCTTTGTCTGTGATGGTATAGAAGACTGTAACGATGGTTCTGATGAAACGTGGTGTGGTGAAGGTAAACAATATAATGAGACATCGTCGTAATTGCATTGAAATAATCTAACCAATTTACCTAATGTAACAGTTTCTGCTGAATAGTTTTGGACTGTTAATGAGTTGCACATTGAAGTAACGAACACGATAAATAGGATAACATTTTACCATCCCTCTAGATTATTATGAAATTCAATATCGATATTCAAATATCATAACATTTGTATGGAATTTGTAATCGTAATTTTAAATATCCTTTTTGTCTACACGGAATATGTGAACATAGCTATTTTATTGGAACAGAATAAAATAATTCTCAAACAATATATCATTCTCCGGAGCTTGTCAATGTCAAAAAAGCTCACCACTAACGGTGAACGTAACATGTCTATAATTGAATTTGAAAAAAAAAATATATGGTTGCTAGGGTTTTCATAGAGTCGTATATTATGCACATTTGTATCATATTTGTTTCAGAACATCACATTTCTTGCTCCGATGGTTCTCTGATTCATCGTTACCTGTGGTGCAACGGAATTCCAGACTGTGAGAGCGATCACGCGGACGAGGTCAATTGCTATGGTAAGTGTACAAAACATACACATAATTATATAAAAAAAAATGAATGTGGGTTTCTAGTGCGCGTGGTACTTCAATATATTACGTCACGGGAATTGTTAGCTCGTTCGTTACTTAAGCGCGAACGTCGTCTCGCGCATATGAGCCTAACAAATGCAACTTTTCCAGGGTTTCACGGTATTTCAACTTATAGGTGATTTTCCGTACAATTGCGAGATCTCGCGAGATGCATGAAAGACGCGCGTCGAACGTCTGCCGCAAAAATCGAACGATTTGATTTTGAACTAGAATTTCTTTATTTCGTAGCTTACATTGACCGGCCGATCTTCGACAGAGGAATATTGCTTCCGAATACCCCTACTTAATCGAAATTGCCTATCATCAAATGTGGACAGCACATTATTAAGCATGGAAATGTCCCCGAAATACTTTCGCGTTTGTCGAATCCCACGCGATGTTTGACGCGACTACGACGCTATGACCTTTGTTTGTCCTGTTTTTACGTTCGATTTCACGCATAACGCGTGATTCTCGCAGTGGACGGAAAATGGTCTATTAAAAACAGTTACCTGCAATACAGTGGTGTGGTAGATAGATATTTAGAGGTCGATTTTAGTGATTATTGTATGAGTTACTATGAACGAGACAGCAGAGTGGATGACGCACTCAACAGAAATACGCGACAGTGAACCTCATGTACTATGTCAACTATTAGTTTCATAAAGAGGGAAAATTACAATGATCTCACAAAATGATGTCGATGGTTAACAGATTCTATAAATGATGTTCAAACTACTCGCCGTGGATTACAGGCATAAGTGGGTCAAAGGTCAACTGTTGAACTTACAAAGGTCATCCTACTTTGATGAAGAGATGTAGACATGTGTCAATTTAAGAAACTTGTAATTTGTATTCATTTCCATCACATCTCGAAAAAATCGTCCGCACTGTATAGAATGATACAATGCACATAATCGAATTACTCCTCACCAATTCCCGCATATGTCCGTGGTAAATTGGGCCTGTGAATGTCATCACCAGAGGCTGGTAATATCAGTATCATCCTCGTCCACCAGAGATTTTTTCCCGCTATATTTAAAAAATACACCAACAATTTGGGAGATAAAATTTGAATTTTCCCTTGAATACATCATGAAAGCTAATGACGGAAGTCTTGTTTAAATTTGTAATTTTCACCTAGAGTTCTGTAAAGTTTTGCAATATTATACGTGACATGACTTCATTCAGCCCTGTCACACGCAACGTAATATTACCGTAATTGGTATAGTACAGGTGTGATGGTTCAAATACCAAAATGGCAATAGTAACAGAAAGACTTCCCTGGCGGCGATGATAAAATACGAACACGTAGCCAACAGATGAGGTTTCAACTGGTATTATTGTACTCTGCAAACATCAAGTACAATAACGCGGCAAAACTACACTACTTTAATGACTAGATACTTAAACTCCAATACAATTCAACGAGATCTCCGATCTGAACTCAGTGCTGAACAACTCCCCTATATATACCTCCCTGTCTATAAATAGACCATTACATCAGCATACATAATGAGTCTGGAACCTACTACAAATTTCTAGAATGTTCTATTACCTTCTATTGCCTCCTACAGTGTTCTATTACCTATTCAGCCAGTTTCTAAAAAAAATCTAGAATATTCCACCCAGACACAGTACGGCTCTAGAACATTCTCAGTGACACGGAAGTGGTAAATAAGTCGTATGCGACAAGCACCAAATATTAGAAAATAAAAAGTGATAATCTCAATTCGTTGAGGTATTCCCAATTATTCTGCCTTTCCGTTAGGTCGCCCTCCCCAATCATTTATTCCGCTTGTGGTCACGGTTTGACTGAAGAATTGTGTTCTCACAAAACCTACATCCACAAGGCTTAAAGGGCGGTGGTCGTCGCGCCGCGCATGTGTGACATTTGTGTTGATAAAAAATGATTTTCCCACAATCCAATGCGCTTTTTAAATAAAATCACGGGTGCGAGTTTTGATCAGGGCCTGACTTGCTCTAATTACCGACGGTGACTCATTCAGTTCGACACCTTGCAATAACCAACAAAAATGCCTAACTGAAGCTTGGTAACCTCTCAGTTTGTACTCTTTCGTCTTACGGTCAAAGACGCCATCTTTGTTTATATGAGACCCATATTTCGCACGTGCGTGGCGTGACGACCACCGCCCTTCAATGATTGCTGTTTATCGACATAAAATTTACTTCTGCAGATGAATGTCCGGATGACTATTTCCGGTGTAGCAACAACCGTTGTATAAGGAATTCCCATCTCTGTGATTTGAAATGTGACTGTGTCGGTTCCTGCGAAGACGAAACTAATTGCGGTAAGTATTTCACCTTGTTGCGGATAACTTCAGAAAATCAGCTGACTTTCACGAGTACAGGTATACTGATTGAAATAATTTCGAGTCAACGCATAGTACATTGCAATCATGGTGTCAACAGAGATGGTTAAATAATGTAATGAATTGATCTCTGCGTAATCAATTAACTTACTGTGCCTATTCGATACACGGGAACGGAAGTATTTTGTTACTTCCTGTTAATTGGTCATTATAAACTTTTTTTCTATTCTCTATCATATGTGTGGGACTTTCTTTTCTGTAAATTTACTGGTAGAATTGTATTTTGTCAAAAATGTTTTAGTGAAGATTTATTTTTCAAAATCCATCCGAGTTTGCAATGGTCAACGGATCATGTGGCACCTACATGACGTCACGATATATTTAGCAAAACTGTGCCCGGAGTAATATTGACTGTAACAGTATTTGGTTTTGGAAACAATAGCATATATATTATGCTTAATTAATTGCGACTTATCTAGTAATCTGTAAACTGTACCTGCAAGTTACCAGTGTGGTGAATGCGTAATGTCTGGATTTGAGTATTGTGAACTTTTGTCCTTGTAAAGCATTGGTCAAACTCTGGTTTCCGATATATTGTAATGAATAAATAAGTTGCTATGGTAATTACTGGCGTGATGTAACGATAATTGTCGTTTATTTGTGATTCTAGGTAACAATACCTGTTCCGAAGCGAGCCAGTTTTGGTGTCGTGATTATTCACGCTGCCTTCATAAATCTTATCTCTGTGATGACGAAGATGACTGCCTTGATGGCTCAGACGAGTATGGATGTAGTAAGTAACAGTTAGTGAACCATAAATCTGGTGAAAATGGCTGCCGAGATCTCGTTTAGAGCGAGAGAGCAACGAGACTTGTTGTTTGCTCTTTCAATAGTGTTCCATTCTCACCTGCCATTGCGTCTGATGCGATATTTGAGGGCAATAAACAACTCTCGAGATTTATCGCTTCCAGCGTGATCTCGTTGGCTTTCTGAGGTATATAGCTTTGCATCATATCGAAAACCGATATCAGTTTCGTTAATCAATAAAACCACAATCTGATTCAATTATACAACGTTGTTTCGCCCAATGACGTCACATTGTTTATTCTTATTCAGCCGATGACTACAATTGCACATATTATAGTATGTATAATGTCCCACATCAACATTGCGGAGAAGATGACGGTAGATGCATTCCAATGATGGCCGTGTGTGACTATCGGCGTTATTGTATCCATGGAACTGATGAAGACCACTGTGGTAACTATGGTTACATGCTTTTTTTTCTATACATTGATTCAGATTCAGGCAATTTTCAGGATGGTATACACATCTCAAATAAGCCTGCCCACTCGCGGCGTATCGCGTTTCGCTAAACAGGTATAATCAATGTCGTTTTCATAGACTACAGTGTGTAGTCGTTCGTCATTTAGAATAAAGCAAATATTTGTACATAATGTATTTTTATGGCCGACCACAGATCAGTACTGTGAACAGCGCCCCCTACGATCGGCGAAATGATTTGTTGTTAGAGTGCGCCTCTGATAGAATAGGAATGCACTCTGTCTTCTTTCAAAGAACTTTTAATTATTAGTAACACATATTAGTATCCATCATTCGGCAAACATTTGATCACCACGAACTATGAATGAACATAAACAGTATGAGAAACGTACAATTAGATTATTTATTTTATTGGTGAAAGAGTTTGAACCTTCTTTATTTGAACCACAAGATTATCGTTAAAACAACTTAACCATAATATGAAGGTGCGATATACACCACATCAGGTAGCGCCACATCACAACGCATCACATCATCACATCACATGATCACATCACATCACATCACATCACATTACATCATATCACATCACATTACATCACATCACATAAAATCACAACGCATTACATCACATCACATTACATCATATCACATCACATTACATCACATCACATTACATCATATCACATCACATTACATCACATCACATAAAATCACAACGCATCACATTACATCATATTGCATCATATTACATCACATCAAATCACATTACATCATTTCACATTATTCACATCACATCACATCATAGGCAGTAGAAACAACATAAACAATATAAATAGTTTATTCACTCTCTACCTGTAATGGACTATGCTTTTTGTAAATATTATTTACCGCCTATTTACAGAATGGAATGCTTTTCTTATCAAAGTTTGTTTGATACATACAATTTAAAATATAATTTATTAATGAGGGTCGTTGATAAGCGGAGTCTTCCATTCTGTAAATATTCGCCAAAGGCCATTGGCAATGAGAACAGTCCATTACATAAGAGGGGTAAATATATCTTTATATTTTTTAATATTTTAAAGTGCACCTTGACTATTTTATTTCATGAATTACAATGAAATGTATATTTATATTCAACCGATACATATTATATGTATTGTTCTCAATTAAGAATGTTTAAATTACTATAACCTAAATATCAAATTTCTGCGTGCAATACTTTGTTTTCACTTATAAAGGATACATTCCTTGTGGGACTGATGAGTTTAGATGTGGAAGCGGTGAGTGCTTACCGATATCCCAGCTATGTGATGGATCGAGAGACTGTGGTGACAGTGCAGACGAGCGCAGCTGCGGTAAGAAACTAAAATCGATAAGTTATATAATTATTCACGATTATTTCTAATTATAGTTTAATCTAACAAAATGAATGTATAGCGGCTGTTGGCCCGGGTGGTTATTGAATGG